CAAACTGAAGGCTGAGGCCCAGAGGATCGAGGCCGTGAGTGACCCCTGACCTCTGACCCCAACCCAGACTGACCCCTGACCTCTGACCCCAACCCAGACTGACCCCTGACCCCTTTTCATTCGCTGACTGGAGTCATTTTCTAATCATTCATTTGACTTGATTTTCATTCTTTTACTTCTGAAGATGGAAGTTTTGTTTGTTGAATCCTTTGTTCCCTTTTGTCATTAAATAAACTGTGGTGTTTGTGGTGTTTGTGGTGTCGTCTTTAAACTCTCTCCGGTGTTTGTCGTCTTTATTCTCTCTGGTGTTTGTGGTCGTCCAGGAGGCGGAGCTGCAGCGTCTGGCCCAGGCTCGGGAGCAGGAGTTGGGATATAAACGGGACATGGACAAACTGGAGGTGGAGAAGCAGGAGAAACTGGCCCAGATCGAGAGTCAGAAGTTCAGTCGGCTGGTGGAGAGTCTGGGCGCCGACACGCTCAAGGAGATGGCCAAGGCGGGGCCCGAGCTGCAGGTGAGGGCGGGGCCGGGCGGGGGAGGGCGGGGCTAAGGCGGGGAGGGCGGGGCAACCCAACCCAGAGACTCAGGGACGGGTCAAATGCAGAGACACTTGGACCTACAGAGAGAATGAAGCTCAGCAGAACGTTGACCTGTGTCCCTCAGTGAGACTTCTGGTCCTGCAGGTCGAAGTCTCCAGCCTTTTTCCTCTGGGGCACTGCAAAAAAACTTGACCAAAATTTAACATTTAAACACTTAAATCTGTCAAAAAATGATTTAAAAGTGTTGAAATGATGTGTCCATGCAACAAAGATCATTTTACTGGACAAGTTCTTTTAAAATAATCGACCTCTAGACGAGAATGAAGCGTCTCAGAACGAGTGAGTCGATCATGAATCTGAAAACAAGATGAGAAACCTGATTTTAAAATCTTGTCCAGATCAGAGACATTTGCAGCGCGAGCTCCTTCACAAAATGAAAGATCTTCTAACGCAGGAGAGTCAAACTCAAACTCAGAGGCCAAAATTAAAAACTGGGACTAAGTCGTGGGTCAAACTAAATATTTTCCTGAGATACAAGACTGAGAAAGTCGTTGAGTCCTGTTGAGTCCTCGTTGAGTCCTCGTTGAGTCCGTTGAGTTGAGTCCGTGTTGAGTCCGTTGTCAGTCCTGTTGAGTCCGTCGTTGAGTCCGTGTTGAGTCCTCGTTGAGTCCTCGTTGAGTCCTCGTTGAGTCCTCGTTGAGTCCTCGTTGAGTCCTCGTTGAGTCCTGTTGAGTCGTTGAGTCTCGTGTTGAGTCCGTTGAGTCTCGTTGAGTCTCGTTGAGTTGAGTCCTCGTTGAGTCCTCGTTGAGTCCTCGTTGAGTCCCTCGTTGTTGAGTCCTCGTTGAGTTCTCGTTGAGTCCTCGTTGAGTCCTCGTTGAGTCCCTCCGTTGAGGTCGTTGAGTCCTCGTTGAGTCCTCGTTGAGTCCTTGAGTCCTGTGACCGTTGAGTCGTTGAGTCCTCCGTTGAGCCGTTGAGTCGCGTTGAGTCCTCGTTGAGTCCTCGTTGAGTCCTCGTTGAGTCCTCGTTGAGTCCGTGTTGAGTCCGTGTTGAGTCCTCGTTGAGTCCGTGTTGAGTCCGTGTTGAGTCCGTGTTGAGTCCTCGTTGAGTCCGTGTTGAGTCCTCGTTGAGTCCTCGTTGAGTCCGTGTTGAGTCCTCGTTGAGTCCGTGTTGAGTCCGTGTTGAGTCCTCGTTGAGTCCTCGTTGAGTCCGTGTTGAGTCCTCGTTGAGTCCTCGTTGAGTCCTCGTTGAGTCCGTGTTGAGTCCTCGTTGAGTCCTCGTTGAGTCCTCGTTGAGTCCTCGTTGAGTCCGTGTTGAGTCCGAGTTGAGTCGAGTTGAGTCCTCGTTGAGTCGTTGAGTCGAGTGAGTCCGAGTTGAGTCCGAGTTGAGTCCCGTTGAGTCGTTGAGTCCGTTGAGTCTCGTTGAGTCCTCGTTGAGTCCGTGTTGAGTCCGTTGAGTCCGTTGAGTCCTCGTTGAGTCCGCGTTGAGTCCGTGTTGAGTCCTCGTTGAGTCCTCGTTGAGTCTCGTTGAGTCCGCGTTGAGTCCTCGTTGAGTCCGTGTTGAGTCCTCGTTGAGTCCTCGTTGAGTCCTGTTGAGTCCGTGTTGAGTCCGTGTTGAGTCCTCGTTGAGTCCTCGTTGAGTCCGTGTTGAGTCCTCGTTGAGTCCTCGTTGAGTCCTCGTTGAGTCCTCGTTGAGTCCGTGTTGAGTCCGTGTTGAGTCCTCGTTGAGTCTCTGTCTCTGTGTCTGTTTCAGGTGAAGATGCTTCAGGCTCTGGGGCTGAAGTCGACTCTGATCACTGACGGCTCGTCTCCCATCAACCTGTTCACCACCGCCAACGGCCTGTTGGGGGCGCTGCCGGGCCACGGGCAGGAGTAAAGACCCGAGAGGAGAGACCGAGACCAGGACCGGGACCGAGACCGGGACCGAGACCGGGACCGAGACCGGGACCAGAGGAGAGACCAGTTTATAAAAATATAAAACTACAGGAATTTATTACGAGTTAAAGCTGCTGATGTAAAAGGGTGTGTCCTTGTCTCCTTTCTTGTCTCCTTGTTTACTTCCTTGTTTCCTCGTCTCCTTGCCTCCTCAGGTCAAAGCTCTGATAAAATGAAGTTTTACATTTGTTGCACTTTTTCCTTCAAGGCCTTAAATAAACGAAGTGCTGCTTATTCTGTCTCCAGACTGTTTTTAATGTTCAAGGTTTAGTCCTGGTTTAGTCCTGGTTTAGTCCTGGTTTAGTCCTGGTTTAGTCCTGGTTTAGTCCTGGTTTAGTTCTGGTTTAGATTCATGATTTCTGCCACAGTGTAAGAGTCGGGTTTGTGGAGAGGCGAGCCTGTTCACAGTGAGGACACATGTTTTTAGTGCATTAAAAAAGTGACGTACTGTGGCTTTAATTATCGTGTTTAAAGTGTAAAAGTGTCAGAGTCTGATCTGGGGTCAGATCTCACACGCTCAGAGTCTGGACCTGATGGAGACTCTGGAAACATCAGGAGCCACAGGAGCCACAGGAGGAGCCACAGGAGGAGCCACAGGAGGAGCCACAGGAGGAGCCACAGGAGGAGCCAGTCACAAAAACTGTCACTGTGTCCTTGGGCAAGACACTTCCCCCTGTGTGTGTGTGATGGTGGGAGGGGCTGACGGTGCAGGTTGGCCTCACTTCTGTCTGTTCGCCCCTGAGTTTGGAGAGAAGAAGAATAAAGTGTGAAGAGCTTTGAGTCTTGAAAGACGCCGTGTAAATAAAACGATGAATTATAAAATGAATGAATGACTTAATATGAACCGTCCTGTTGTCCTCGGGTCAAAATGACCCAACAGTGAAATTCAGTTAAAATCACAGTCAGAGAAAGTTCTCTACACACCACAGACTGTGAGAATGTTTCAGTTCAATCAGTAGCAGATGTAAACAGGACAGGAGCCTTGGTAAATGGTCACACTTTTCCACGTTCATGGTTCAAAACACTTTACAACAAGGAACCACTGTTCATCGGGATGAATAAAAACACATTCAAAATTCCTTTTTGCACATTTCTTTTGTTTCTAAAGCTGTAGAAATGCAGGTGAAAAGGGAAAACTCAAGTTTTCACACATTTTGTGGTGAATGTTTCTTCAAGCAAAATAAAAATTGGTGTTTAGAATAAAATTAAACTGCTGCTATACTGGGGATTTAGTGAAGACGGGTCATTTTGACCCGGAGGACACGAGGTGTATACAGAATATGAGTGTGATGACCCGAGTGTGATGACCCGAGTGTGATGACCAGAGTGTGATGACCAGAGTGTGATGACCAGACTCAGACGGGGTGAGGATCTGTTTACTTGTTGTTCACTTTGTAATTTGCCGTGAAATATCCAAAAGTTAAATTCACAAATGTTTGACTTGATCATTTCTGTTTTCGACTCGACTTAAGAAACTCACTGAATTATAATAAAAATCTGCATTTTAAAATGATTCATTTTGGCTCCGTCTGTATTAAATATTACAGAAACTGTAGAATGTTGTGACGTCACCTGAAACTCAGTCTAGATCACAGGTGTCAAACATACGGTCCGGGGGCCAGATCCGGCCCTCCAACACCTTTAATCTGGCCCTCGGTTGATTTTCTACTCAAATATTTGTAATGATATTTTCTATTAAAATGGTGTTAATTTTGTGTGGTGTTTATCACAGCAGCGTCTCCAGCGTCTCTGTACGTGGCCCCTCCCACCAGAGCAGCACAAATGAAGACTTGTCTCTTTCCAAACGCTCTTAAAGGACGATGGTTTTGACTGTTGACCGTGACACCCTCATCAGAAAAATGTCCAACATGAGAAAAGTGGAAGCCGAGTGCAGGATTTTACAACAAAAATGGACTTATTCCTGTTTACAGACAAGTTCATGTTCAAACTTTGTGTTGAAATTGTATTTTTCTTCAAGTTTCAGGTTGTTTATAATATTATAATATTTTGTAAAAGAAATAGTTCATCAGTTCAAAAAGATTTGTGTAATAGATTTGTGTTTCTCTGCACAAATATTTGAACTTCTTGTTATTTTGGGGTTTATATGACATGAGTTTTCTGATTCGGCCCCTGGAACAAAATGAGTTTGACTCGTCTGGTTTAGAGTCTGGGGCTTCAGAGTTTAAACTGTGCTGTGTTTCTTTTTCCAGCAGAGGGCGCTGTCCGACACCTAAACAAACCTGAATATGAAGAGACAGAAGAGGAACAGATCCAGAGGAAAAACAGAGAAGATATTTGAATCATTATCATGAATAATGTTCAGTAACAAAAAGTCCAAATCTGAACGTTTCAACAAACAAATGTGATTTTCTTACAACGATTAAACCAAACAAGAGGACGGTTTAAAGAGGACGAGGACAGGACAGGAGGACGAGAGGACGAGAGGACGACAGAGGACAGGAGGACGAGGACAGGAGAGAGGACGAGGACGAGAGGACGAGAGGACGAGGAGGACGAGAGGACGAGGAAGAGGACGAGGACGAGAGACAGAGACGGAGAGAGGACGAGGAGGACGAGAGGACGAGAGGACAGAGGACGAGGAGAGACGACGGAGGGCATCTGACACGGGGGGGGGGGGGTGCAGCGGGGCCCCTCCCTCCTCTGCATTATGACATTGGCTCTTGTCTCTGCGTCTCTCGTTTTTTCACTGAAACGCTGAGTTTTCTCTCCGTTCTGCTCCACGCTTCACTCCTCCCCCTCTCCTCCTCTCCTCTGCCCATCCCTCTCTCCTTCACTCCTCTGTTCATCCTTCTCTCTCTCCCTCTCTCTTGCCTCTCCTCCTCACTCCTCTGTCCATCCCCCTCTTCTCCCTCTAAACGCTTCAAACCCCCCTCCCCCCTCTCTCTCTCCTTCCTCTGAAAGCTTCACTCCTCCCCCTCTCCTTCTCTCCTCCTCCACCTCTTTCACCCCACCCCCCTCCTCTCCTCTCTCCATCCCCCTCTCTCCTCTCCTCCCTCTCTCTTTCGAGGCTCTTGTCTTTCGCTGCGGACAGAGTTTTTAATAATTTATCACGATCTAAAATTCAAATGACCCACGAGCAGCAGCAGCTCTGAAGAAGAAGAAGGAGAAGGAGAAGAGGAGGAAAGATGAGAGGAGAGAGGAGGAGGAAAGAGGGATAAGGACAGAGAGAGAAGGAGGGAGGAGAGGAGAGATAATGAAACGAGGGAGGAGAAAGTGAGAGAAAGGAAACGGACAAAAGGGGGGAGGGTAAAAGAATCTAAAGCCCGAGAGAGAAGCTGAGGAAGAGGAGGGAAGGTAAAAGAAAAGAGAGAGAGAGAGAGAGACAGAGAGAGGGAGAGAGAGAGGGATGGGAAGAAGAGTGTGAAGATGCTGCGTTTGTGACAGCGCCGCAGCCCGCTCCCTTAGCGACCGTTTCCAAGGCAACCGACTCCAGCTCGCCCTAGAAACGCGAAAGGAAAATATATAAATAAATAAAAGAGAGAAAAGGTTTAGAGCGGCAGAAGTCAGAGCGAAACAAAACAAAACCTCACGCAAAATTTAAGATACAAACACTTAAATCTGTCAGAAAATGAGTTAAAAGTTGATGTGTCCATCTTCTGCATGTGTCCATGCAGAAGATAATCAAGTTTTGCTCTAAATTCTGCTAAATTCTCGATAAACAAACTTAAAATCAGTTTATTCTGGGCGTTCACGGCCTGAGAATAAATTCAGAGACACTAAATTCTAGATCTAAGTTCTTGTAAATGGATCGTCGCTTCTTCTTTTAAACATTTATCGCCTAAATTTAAGATTTTCTGTCGAGTCGAGTCATGGGAGAAAAATATGTGACACTTTTTTTAAAATTCTACAATCAATTCAGAACGAGTGAGGAGATCATAGCGAGGAGAAAAGTTCATTTGGTTGAAGACGTTTCAGTTCTGTCAGACTCTGGTGACTCTTCCTTAAATCTGCAGGAGGAGCTAACTACACTGAAACTCCTCTGGAACTAACACACTTGTGTGTTGACCTGTACAGGGTGTGGGTCTGATTAACAGAACAGTTCATGTCCATGATGGAGCTTCCACACCTCTGGTCCTGACCTGACTCCACCTGTTGTTCTTGTTTGTTTTGTTTTAGTTTAGGGTGACCAGATTTCCATTTGTGAAAACCCGGACACCTTACAGGAGGTGGGAGGTGGGGCCTCTGCTTTGAGCTACACTCGTCCTTCGCTATATCGTGGTTCACCTTTCGCGGTCTCACCGTTTCATGGATTTTCTTATTCTGTTTTTTTTGTTTTTTTCACACGGGTGGATCAGGACTAAACCAGGTCTAAACCAGGACTAAACCAGGACTAATCTTGGGACTTAAGAGAGAGAGAACCCCGAGCAGTTTGTCCACAAAGTGCGATCGGGCAATTACCATGTTCACCTCCGTGAGGTGCAGAAGTCTGCATCTGTTCTTTCTCCTGCGTCACGACAGTGAGTCCTGGTTCAGTCCTGGTTTAGTCCTGGTTTCAGTCCTGGTTCAGTCCTGTTTCAGTCCTGGTTTAGTCCTGGTTTAGTCCTGTAATCAGTCCTGGGTTAGTCTTGGTTCAGTCTTAGTTCAGTTTGTGGTGTAGGCAGTGTAAAAGTTTGATATAATCTCGGGTTAACGGGCAGGTGCGGTCCTGTCCTGGCAGGTGCGGTCCTGTCCTGGCAGGTGCGGTCCTGTCCTGGCAGGTGCGGTCCTGTCCTGGACTCTGCTCTGTCGGCTCCATTACGGAATAAATGAATCTTCAGTTTGTTACATAAAGAAGGAGGAAAATAACAAAAGGACGACAACAGCAACAAGTTTGAAGAAGGAAGTAAAAAGTGTTGCACCTGTCGATCCTGTCGGAGAAAAGTGTATAAAGTTTGTGCTGAGGTTTTACAGACTTAAAACAGACAGAATAATTGTAAAATATAAAGTTGATACTTGGTGGATTTCACCTGTCGCAGGTTATTTTTAGAACATAACTCCCACGATAAACGAGGGACACTGAACTCTCACCTCAGCCTGTGCACATGGACTCACACTTGTCCCGACCGGGACGGAAAAAGGAGAATTTCTTGTCCAAGTCGTTGTTAAATGTTCTTTTGTGCTTCGGTGTGTTTCAGACTGACCGACTGTTTGTGTCTCGCTCCTTCTGAGTCACAGACGAGAGACGCTCAGTTTAATGACCCAATGAACGATACTGAAAACCCAGACATTTCCAT